AGAGGAAAAGAACTTGACATACAGATAAGGGGGGCAAATAGGACTCCAACTAGCCTTGATCAAGAAAAAAAACTATACATAGGCATATAATTGTTAAGATTCCAGAAACCCAGCAGAAGAACAAAATTCTACAAGCAGTCAGAGAAAAGAAACAAATCACATACAAAGAAAAGCCCATCAGAATCACAGCAGACTTCTTAATGCACACCTCAAGGCAAGAAGAGCTTGGAGTGATATATTCCAAGCCCTAAAGGAAAACAGCCTCCAACTCAGATTGATGTACCCTGCAAAACTATCTTTCAAAATTGATGGAGAAATAAGATGCTTTCATAAAAGGCCACTTTAGGAACTTCATGAATACCAAACCAGCACTCCAAAAAACTTTGGACAATATCCTAGGAAAAGACAACAAGAATAACAACTACAGGAAGCCCAGCAGAATGAATCCATCAGCCATGACAAGGAATTAAATGCAAAGTGGGAGAACCAAACAAAAAGAAAATGTCATGACAACGATGAGTTGAAACATTAAGTTATAACCATCAAATTAATGGTCTCAATTCACCAATCAAAAGAAATAGAATAGAAGAATGTGTCAAGAAGCAAGATCCAACAATATGCTGCATACACGAAACATACTTAATTTATAAAGAAACTCTTAGACTGAGAGTTAAAGGGTAGAAAACAATACTCCATGTGACAGGAACCCGAAAAAAAGCAGGACTAGCTATCCTCTTCGCAAATCAAGTAGATTTCAAACCAACACAGATTGAGAGAGACAAAGAAGGACACTACATCCTTGCGAAGGGAACAATCCAAGAGGAAGAGATGACAATCATAAATATATATGCACCAAACACTAGTGCGCCCAACTACATAAAACAAATACTAACAGACATGAAAAATCAAATGAGCACTAATACAATAGTAGTTGAGGACCTCAATACGCCATTGTCACAAATAGATTGAGCAACTAGACAGAAAAAAGCAACAAAATACTAGAATTCAATCAAACTCTTAAACAAATTAACTTAACAGATGTTTACAGTGTGCTCCACTCCACAAAATCAGAATACACATTCTTCTAAGCTGCACATGGGTCATTCTCCAAAACAGACCACATACTTGCTCATACACCATGTTTAAGTAACTGCAAAGGAATTGAAGTTATCCCCTGTATATTATCACACCATAGTGCGATGAAATTGGAGATCAATAGCAAAAGAAACTGCAAGAATTTCATAAAAACGTGGAAACTGAAAAACACACTTCTGAAAAACCAATGGGTCACAAAGGAAATTAAAGAAATCAGACAGTTCCTTCAATTCAATGACATTGACAATACAACATATCAGAATCTATGGGACACAATGAAAGCAGTCTTACAAGGGAAATTCATACCAGTGAATACTCATATGAGATAAACAGAGTGAGCCCAATTAAACAACGCGATGCTGAACCTCAAACTTCTAGAAAAAGAAAAGCAGGACAAACCCAAAGCTTGTACAGGGGAGGAAATTATAAAGATCAGAGCAGAAATCAATGCAATGGAGACTAAGAGAATGATACAAAAAAAAAATCAATGAAGCCAACAGTTGGATCTTCAAAAGAATGAACAAAATTGACAAACCCTTAGCCAACCTTGTCAGAAAAAGGAAAGAAAAGGCCCAAATCCATGCACTTAGGAATAAAAAGGACGAAATTACAATGAACCCAGCAGAAATCCAAAGGATCAACAATACCTACTTTGAGAACCTATACAACAATAACATGGAAAACACAGAAGAAATGGACAGATTCCTAGATACATATGAATTACCAAAGTTGAACAAAGAAGACCTAAAAATTCTAAACAA